CGCACCCCCCTAACCGTGCTCTTCCTTAAGACGTGCGACGCGCCCAAGCCCAGATCCCAGGGCGTGACGTTCACCGATTGCTACCTGGACTCCAACTGGGATCTAGCCCCCCCCACGTCCCGAGAACGACTGCTACATGCGCGTGCCCTACCAGTTCTTCTGGTCGGAGGAGGACGCTAAAGCAGCGGGGGTCGACGCCGCGAAGTGGGACGAGCAGTTGTCGGTGTTCTCGAAGGGCCTGTACTATAAGAACGAGGCAGTGGTCCAACTTGAGCTGGCGTCGCTGAAATTGGCGTTCCTGCGAGTGAACTCGGCCAAGATGAACTTCAAGATCGGGCACGGAGGGGACGGCAAGCACATGGAGGCCACCTTGCAGCGGAACCTCGTCGGCGAAGCGAACGCCCACTACCTCGACTGCGGCGTCTTCTACGATCGGTCGGAGTGGCGGAAGTCGGGAGGGGCAGCGTGGAACAAATCCATTGTTCGCATACAAGAGTGCGACGCCAACGCCCACATGGTGTCCGACATATGGAAGCGCTTCATTGTCGGGGAGGAGCTGTCGTGCCGCGTCAACTACGGGTTCACCGTGCAGAGGACCTTCGGCGAATGCAAAAATGACCAGGAGCTGAATTACGAGAACATTCCAGTTCTGGAGGAGACAGGGACGTCGCGGAAGAAATTGTGCGAGCAGTTGGAGCGGCGGATCATATGTTCCCGCATGGGGAAGGCGACGTTCGTGCACAATGAGGAGGACGTGTGCCACGAGGAGGGCCGCTTCTTGAAGATCCCACAGGACACGTTGGACGAGTTCCTGTCGCACCCGTGGGTCGCTGCCAGGTTCCTTCACAAGTACTTGCGCCCCTTCGCCAAGAAGTACACGGCCCACAACTCGCTTGTGATGCTGGACAACATCGAAGCATTGAGCACGGAGATGTACAGGGATCTTGTCTGGCTGGCTTCCAGGCTCTCCGGCGGCGTCGACCCGCCCCCCGAGGACGGCCAGCCGACAGACGCGGTCGAGAGGAACTTGATTGTGTCGGCCCACGCGAGCACGCCCATGAAGGCCGTCGTCAAGGCGTACCTCATTGAGAACGTAGACTGCATACCTGGGACGCGGAAGCCAGGGAAGAAAGGCGCCTCAAAGTGGCAGAACCTCACGGCCGCCATCGGGAAGTCGAACCTGCGCCTCTTCACGCAGTGCGACACCAACGCTTTGAGGAAACTCATGGTTAACTACGAGAAGATGATGCAGACGTGGGAGGCATGCGGCGGCGCGGATGTGTTCGGAAATTGGGAAGACTGGGGCAATCCATTCGACAACATTGACAGCACTTCTGGCGCAGTGTATTGTACTTTCCTTCAGCGCGGTGTATTGTACTCCAACACTTATGCGAGATCTGATTGTTCATGCGTCGTTTAAAAAGTCTTCTCGTTCCCTCCACTTCCTCCTTACCTCTCCCCCTCCCTCCCCCCTCATGCTCCGCGCTGCCCCCCTGGCCGTCGGCTCCTCGCGGCCCGATGGGCCCCGTGCCACTCGGGCTCCGACGGTGGAGGAGGGGGAGAGGTAGGAGAAGGAGGAGGAGGAGGAAAGAGGAGGAGGAGGAGGAGGAGGAGGGAGGAGGAGGAGGAGGACGAGGAGAAGGATTTTCATTCCCCCCCCCCCCTCCCGAAAAAAAAAAAAAAAAAAAAAAAGGCGGATCCGACCCAAGTTTTTTTTTTTTGTTTTTTTTTTTTTTCCTGGGGGGGGGGGGAGGGGGCCAAACAACGAAAATGGTATTGTTCCTTTTGGAGGAGGAGGAGGAGGAGGAGGAGGAGGAGGAGGAGGAGGAGGAGAGAGGAGGCCGCCACAGAGCACGCATATCTCATTGAAATAGACGCGCGAACTCAGTGTGAAAGCCTCGCTTTGGCGCCTTCGACCCCGAGGGGCTCCACAATCCCCCGTTCTC